GTTTGTTCATGACAGGTGTCCTTGCATTTCCATAGATGGAATAGGCCTAGAAAACTAGGCACAAGAGTTTGTTTAATGGGAAAACTTGTTATTTCGAATAGGGATACACCCTCTTTTCAATATTCAAATACACTCTGGTCCATTTTGTAACATAGTTAGCTACTCTGTACGATGTAAAATCGGGCTTGTTCCATCAATGCCTTTGAAAATTGAGGTTACTTTATGTCCCTTTGAAAAGTAGGGTTAACCTCGTTCAACAAGGTAAATGGAACATTAGCTTCTCTCATGAATCTACGTTTTAATTTTATTTTTTAAAAGCAGCTTACCTTAATGTCATCATTGGTGTCATGGTTCCAAAATCTTCAATTGTGTTCCAAGGAGTTCACTTTTGGTGCACATGATGTTCATCCAAGCAAGGGAAGTAATCATATACTTAGGGAGCCTTGGAGCCTAAAGCATCATAATTTGGGCACTGACCCATGTTGTTTTTGTTGTCTGATTAAAGAGGATCATAGAGTGATGACTATCCTCTAATCTATTGAAGACATTTAATATTTGGCTTGCGTGTTTTTACCTATATCTTGTTCTTATCTTTGTCAATATTGAAGTTTTGACCAACGAATAATGGACATTAAAGTACTTGAAATGTTGGCTGTACAAGAAAACCTATCATGGGTTTTTTTTAATAAAAAGTAAAAACAATTCAACATTTTTAATCAGAATATATATATATATATGGGAAAATATTTCTGCAGCCACTTTAGATAAGGTTGTCTACAGCTACCTTTTTTTTACTAAATACGACCGGTCATACATAAAAAAAAAATTGCATTTTCTCTCTCCGTCACGTCCGCCGACAATGTCTGAGGAAAATAAGAACAACTTTATTGTTAAAACTAAGTACGACCGGTCGTACTTAGTGAAAAAGGGGTAGCTGTAGACAACCTTATCTAAAGTGACTATAAAAATACTTTTCCCATATATATAACCTCATTTAATGTCTAATGTCTTCTTCTAGTTGTTGTCTATTATAACCTCATTTAATTTGATTCCTAAAACACACACACACACACACACACATATATATATATATATATATATATATATATATATATGGGAGATATTATACTTATTATTTCTATTTCTTACTACCTCTTACTGTCAAATCTTAACCGTTAATTTTCGTCAATCTAACGGTTATAACTTATTAAAAATTAATAAATTAATAACCCAATAAAATAACCGTTAAATTGACAGAAATCAATGGTTAAGATTTACTAATAAGAGATACTAATCTCGCTATATATATATATATATATATATATATATATATATATATATATATATATATATATATATAGGGTTTTATTAATCTCAGGGTTAAAGGATATAAGTTATCTCATGTCATACTCATATAGAAATAAATTTGTGAGTTCCACCATCTGAAAAAGAAAAGAAAAAAAGTGGCACAAGTATCGAAGGATGTGTAGGAGAGAAAATTATCACATGTAACATAAGAGTAGTTTTCCCATATATATATATATATATATATATATATATATATATATATATATTCATATAGAGAATGATCCTTTGACACCAGTGTCAAATTTGAAATTTGACACCCTTTCTGAGAGCCATTAGATCAAAAAAGAAGATCAATGGTGTCACATGCTTACAAATCAGAGCCGTTGATCTTTTTTGATCTAATGACTCTCAGATGAGGTGTCAAATTTAAAATTTGACACCGGTGTGTCAAAGGATCCTCCCTCGTGTGTGTCTATATATATATATATATAGGAAATATTAGTCTCCTTTTACATGAGGTAGCTTATCTCATTTTCTCTCACTTTGATTTCCGCACCTCACTTTCTTTTTCTTTTTCTTTTTTCTTGTAATCGTGGGACCCACCTAGTTTCTCTCTACAACATAAGATACCTATCTTATGTAAAAGGAGATTAAGAAAACCCTATATATATATATATATATGAGGTAGAATCTTTTGACACCGGTGTCAAATTTAAAGTTTGACACCTCATCTGAGAGCCGTTAGATAAAAAAAGATCAATGGTGTCACATGCTTACAAATCAGAGTCGTTGATCTTTTTTGATCTAACGGCTCTCAGATGAGGTGTCAAACTTTAAATTTGACACCGGTGTCAAAGGATTCTGCTTATATATATATATATATATATATATATATAAACTCCAAAATTTTCGGAAACTCTGTCTCCTAAGAAAAAATAAAAAATAAAATTGGGGGGATAAAATTACAACGCGTGGTGTGCAGAATGCCCTGTTTTCTGGGGTGTCGCTTTCTGTTCAGAAATTCAGATGAGGTACCTGAATCCGTAATTGTATAACTGGATCCATGTGCCGCCAAATGACATGTCACAGTTGGATCAAAGGGAAGAGTTCGCATATTCCTCAATCCTCAGCTAACCAAAGAAGCAATATTCTAGTTTTTTTTTTTTTTCTTCTGTTTCCTTTTCTTTTTTCCCCCTTCGGTCTTATCAAAAATCAATGCGTTTGGCCAAAATAGAAAGGAAAAAAACAACAATTACCCTTTCAATTCAACACCCCAATTATTGAATGCGTGTATGTGTCCGATAGTTCAATATAGATATCTTGAAATTAGATTTATTAAAATGAAAAAAAAAAGGAATTATTTTGCAGGAGGTGAAGATAAACTATCGATATCATCGTGCCTATATGTTGATAAACACAATATGAAAAAATTTATTCAGAGATTAGTAACTGAAAAAACCATTACAACAGAAAAACGAAGAGCGACTATCTAACTAAAACATTGCCCATAATAAATCTCAATGCACGGAGAAGTATGTGTCATTTTAAATGACATAAAGTTATGTCTTTTTAAAAGAGATAGACACATAATAATTTTTTTATTTAAAATTTAAATTAAAAAAAAATCAACCACTTTCTCTCTTATATTTTTTATTCATGGTGTCTATCTCTCTCTTAAAATAACATAACTTGTGTCATTTAAAATGACAAACATTAAACTTTTTAATTTATAAATTTGTTATTGGTAAACTTTAATTTTGCAATAAGAATTAAGAAAATAAATTTGAAAAAGTCAAGCGGCACGTCGAGATTAAATAGAGAACACACCTGCAAGTTGCAACTGCAACCTAATAAGACTTGTTTTGTTTGGTTTAGGAATAAGTAGCAGTTAAGCCCACCAGCCTTTGGTTTGATTAGATAGGGGGGGAACTGGGGAAGGGTAAGAGAATAGTGCAACTACTAAACGACAACATAAGTATCACTTTTGAGTTGTCTGGGTCCGACGACATACCCCTTGAACAAAGAGTGGTCACATTGGGTTGGGCCCAAACCCACTATGCGACAAAATGTGTGTCAAACAAACCAGCTTCATCCATTTATTTATTCGTGTCGTTGTGCAGTGGTGGCGCACACAACACAACCTAATAGCATAGCACACCATGTTTTTCTTTAATTCATTTTTTTATTTTTATTTTATGCTTATTTTTTCTCTCTGTGAAACGGAAAAAAAGAATATGTTTGTTTACCTTCTCTTAATTTTTGTATTTTTATGATTTTACATGATAATACAAGGAGTTGTTCGCGTAACTTTGTTTAAAGTTTTATTATAATTAGAAAATTTGTAATATATTGTAAAAAAGGAAAAATAAAAAAGAATTGAAACTTGGTGGCTGTTGATTCCTTGGGGTTGAGAAAAAAAATAATGAGGGAAAGGGAAACTAACAAAGGAAAATGGTTGAGATACAAATACAACAAATATTTTGGGGACTGGTCCCCAAGTGTCACTTACCGCACGTGGCCGATTTGAAAGATGGACAAAAACTCTCGATGCAAATAGGGTCCCATATATTAGCCTCGGCTGACCCGCCACATCTTTGGATGTACCATTTCTGATTCCCTTTCTATTTGTCACTGTAGGGAACGGGCCTAGCTAGCATCCCTCTTCTATTCTTATCCTCTCTCTCTCTCTCTTTCAAAAGTGTAGTGAAACGAAGCTTGAATCCAACGTGGATTCTTGTTTGGTGACCTCCTATCCCATCTTTTACGTCCAGTCTTTTTGTAATTCTTGTATAAAAAAAGTGTGTATCATTTTAAAAGATGTAAAGTTATGTTATTTTAAGTAAAAAATAAAAATAAATTATGAAAGAGAGAGAATGGACAAAAAAAAAGTAAAAGTGTAAATCTCATCTCTTTATGAGAGTGAAATAACACAAGTTATTTAAAAGAACAAACATTTTTCCCTTCTTATATAATGAGTAGTATTTCACATTCTAGCTTTGTGATTTCCAAAGATCTTCCAACATTAGGCATACGAAACTATGTTCCATACACCATTATATTATCGGTAGACACTAGTGACAAGAGTAAAGTTAAATCAATAAAGGTTATTGGTTAAATCGTTTGTAAATCATACTTCAACTTTTGATAACCATTGAGATAACGTAAATCCTCTCACATATGCATTCAAGAATCATTACCTTCCAATCAATAAGTGTAGCACTGCCTTTCTATTTATTTTATTTTAAAAAAAAAAACATATCTAAATATCGGTTATATCCTTTGCTGATAAGAAACAACAAGAGTGTTAAATTTGAAATTCAAAACTTGTCTGTCCGAGTGAATGATTTACTTCACATAAAAAAAAGTGAGATCCACGTTTTCATACAAACAAACACCAGTTCAGTCCAACAACTTTTTAAGATCATCACGGATCCAAATTCACGAACCTCCGACACTCGTCTCATCTCACATAAAACTAGTACACTGAAGAGCCATCACCAAGCCGAAACAAAGGTCTTCGGCCCATAAGCAAAGGACCTACATCCTCCTCTGAGTTTAAAAATTGGTCCATCAATATGGAGAGGCTATAAAGTAAATAGAAAGCAAGAACTTAATGTGATAACACATTGTCACGTAAGAATAAGGTACGAATTCAGTTCCAACGAGACACTCTCACCCCTTTCCCCGTCCCCTCCCTCTGACAAAAAAAAAAGAGAGAGACAAAATGCTAAGGAATGCAAATCATACAGTAATCCTAGTTATGACTCCCCAAAAAATTTTCTGCTTGAGAAGCATGGTAAGACTATCATACATTAGATAATGTCCCGTCAAATCATGCACAACAAAGAGTATCTGATCAATCATGGAACAATTAGCACCAGATGCAAAAGGCTGCAAGAGCATCTTCGGATTTAACCGGAGCTAGCATGGAATAATGAAGCATTGTGGACTCCTATGCCTTTAATATTCTCTTAGCCAAAAACATGCGATACAACATATCACTGGAGATGTGAAATAACAAATACAGACTGTCAATTACGACAAGTCCTTTGTTCTTAACTGATATAAATACTAAACTTCGTCCATAAGAGATTAATGTGACGAAAAAGATAAATGGTATCCAAAGCCAATGACTTGAATCACTTGATCTTTTCATGCCAAATTAAGCATTGTCATTCTGCCATGGCTAAACATTTACGATTTGGTCTTACAAAGAAATGGTACCTACTGCTTAGAAACTAATCAGGCTTTGATGGGCTCAGCACGCGGCCTCCACAATCCCAGCCTGTACTTGTGTGCGTATTTCAATATCAACTTCCTCTGCAAAGCAGAAACTAGTTGTCAGAAAGAGTTTGCAAGTGGTCAAAAGAAAAAAGAAATTAATGAGTCTAGTGGTCAAAACTCAAAAGGGTTTGCACCGAATAAACAATTGTGTCTAGTGGCAAAAGAAATCAAATTAACGTCATCAAATTTTGTTGTGAGCTTACCAAAAAAAAAAAAATTCTTCTTAAAATCAATGTAACATTACAAAACCACCAATCCTACCAAAAGTTAAAAGGTCCTTTCAGTCCCAATCAACAAGTCCTGAGATGGACAAACCAGAACTGTCTCACAAGAAATGACTACCATGACAGGGAGATCTCACTTGCAATAGTAGAGTCAACAAAAGGCCTAGGATTTTATCTGATGCACAAGTATCTTGGATATACTATTGTATGCGGCAAGATAAATTGGCATCTAAGATCCAAAGCCATGTTTAATATTTAAAAAATAAAAAAGGGGCAATTTCATAGCCTGACTCTGTTTTAATTGATTGGAAAAACATGCATCTTAGACGCTGGTAACATAATTATATACCTACGTACCAAACACAGGTATATGCCTGGAAGAAGATGACAGTACATCAAACACCTTAGCCCCACAGACAGATCTAAAAAACTGAATCACTTAAACTTAACTATGTGCACATGTGCACCTTTTCTCGGATCAAGTTACTGCAACTCCAATGGCTTAATGACACAGCAAGAAAGGATTTATAGAAAAAAGCAGTAGGCATTAAGAAGGAAAAAAAATTTACTATCATAGAAAAAGTTGCAGGTTCAAAAGTACCAGAGATTTTTCATGTTTCATGAGAAAATGTTTTTCCATATAAACTTATGTCATGGAACTCTTGTAAAGACTTAATCTGTTTAAGAGAAGGCTCTGACAATTTATTTACTAAATACCTACTGAAGGCTTTTGATAATCTTACCATCAAAGTCATCAATTTTGATAAATTTAACATAAATCAGAGTCATTCAAGTTCACTTGAAAGTTACAATGCTAGCTAGTCATAATATTTACTCCTGCTGAATTAAGGAAGAAAATAGGACACAATTTAACACAGTTTGGACTAATAACAGTTACAAGCCAGTCCTATGGCTTTATCATGTCTACTAGGACTGGCAGTTTTTCATAGATGCTCTTACAATAGTGGTTGTATATCTTCTCCCTATACAGGTTATTCTACTTTTGGAAAATAGCCAAATTCTTTTTGTGGTTAATAGGGGGGGGGGGAATTCCCAATACCCCAAATTTTATACAAACAGGTTGAAAAATATAAAACTTATTTTATGTTACACAACCATCGAAATCCGAGCTAGCATTTCTTTTTTTTTCTTCTTTCTTTTAGTTAGGGGACCCACCTAATTATGTCTCTACATACTACATAAGACAATATAATCTCACTGAGAAAAAACATTGCCCTTGAAAAAAAGACATTACCAAAGAGGAAAACAAAAACAAAAATGATAGATTTCTAAGACTGAGTCTATCCAGATGCGCATGTGATAAAATCAATCCCAATATTAAGTTTTAATGTCAAGGGTTTCATGAGTGCTTCTAAGAAGACAAAATTCTAGAAAAATCAATAAGCATTTGTAATGTACCTAGTAGAAAAAATTAAATCAGGAAAAGAACACACGGAGTAGATAGTTATGCATAATAATGCATAACAGAGAAAGCGAATAAGGAATAAGGATTACATGTTTGCAAGGAACACCGAGCTTCTTGAGTTTGAGGGTGCGAGTGACAAGTAGCTTCTGGAAGTCACCGATTTCGGATTCAAGCTTAGCAACATGGGATTCAACTCCGTTCCCTATTCCATTTAGAAACTCTGGTATTCCAACCTTCACTGCATTAAACAAACAAACAATCATTTACATTAATTACATCGTAGTCCTAATTTCTTAAAGATCGAAAACCTCACACCTATACATGGGTCATGTCGTATACAACCAAAAAAAAAAATTAAAAAAAAAAATAGAAGAATCTAGAAGAAACCATTAAGGGGAGGAAATGTTACCAACATAGGGGTTTGATTTGGAGAAGAATCTAGACGAATAATAATAAGGTGTAGAATTCGGGAGTGTTCTCGCGAACAAATTAGCATCTCCCTTTGTGATGATTCTCTGCAACTGCAACCATACCATAGCCATGTTATTTTCACCGTTCAATCAAGTAAACTCTCTGAAGGCTCAAGCTTCAACACTTCCCACCAACACACGATGGGTTTGGACTTAGGGTGCGAAACTTCGCCGCTATGATTAAACGACGTCGTTGTTCTAAGTACATCGTTCATTATGTCTTTCCTTAACGGCCCAAACTTCCGATTAGGCCCAATTTGTACTCCCTAGTTTAGTTGAATGTTGATGTGTTAATAAAACGGGTTCAGATAGGTTCAGCATAACCCAAACACACCTCTTTGGATTTCGATCTGAATTCAAACTGGTTTCGTAACTTTCTTTTTGTTGTAAAATGTCAATCAACTCCGTCGCTGGGGCTGAAATTTTTATTTAATTTCTTTTAGTATAAAATGTCATTGGCCTACGCGGGCAGTCCACCCCACCCCACCCCACCCACCCACCCAAACAGGGTGGGATGGCCTGAGTTTTCTCGCTCACCATCAAAGACAAGGTGGAGTGGGTCGCCCGCTTTGCCACATCTGATTACTTGATTGAAACTTCGAACATGCTTGAGTGTTTTGTGAATAGCCTTCAGAATATAATGCAGTCTATGCTTCGGAATTTTTTGATATTTTGTCAATTATATTAGAAGAAGGTTATATTTACAACCATATTTTAATCGTTGATTTTCGTCAATCAACAGTTATTATTTATTGCAAATTAATAAGTAATTAATGAATTTGATTTACGAAAATAATAATCGTTGATTGGCGAAAATCAACGGATAAGATATAGTTCTAAGAGATTGTAAACGAAAATAGGTTGTAAGTATAACATTTACCATTATATTATTAGTTTGATTGGAGTATTATTAAATTTATTATAGGGGTGATTCTCCCAAAAAAAAAAAAATCTCAAATTCAAAACTTCAGGTTAAAGGAACAAGTTCTTTATAACTGAAATCAATAATTATTAGTGTATTTTGAAGTTTTTAATATGATTAAATTAAGTGATTGATGATAGTGTGTTTAAAATGAAATTGAATAGAAAGATAAAAAAATATTTTATTTTATTTTTGATAACAATAAGGGGCGTAGCCCCAAACAAAAAACACAAGAGAAACTAATAAAAGCAACTAACAAACTATCCGGGGTCTATAATCCCCTGGGTCTTGATCAAAAAGTTTGCAAGCTGATCTGGCATGATTCTATGATGCCAAAATCCAGTGTCTTTGTGAAGAGCAGACTTGGCTAACCAATCTGCACAATAATTTGCTTCTCTAGGAATATGATTAAGTGTTACCTCCCAGTCTTGAGCAATAAGTGCTTGTATCTTAGCCACTATACGCGGCTGACAAGCTGCATTGCAATCTGCAAGAATAGAGAAAACTTCAGAAGCATCTCCTTCTAGTTCCACTTTCCTAAACCCCATTTGACAGCCCATCTCCAATCCTTTAAGAGTTTCCCAAAATTCTGCCATGATAGGGGTACAAGCACCAATATGATACTCAAAACCTCCTAACCATGAACCATCATCAGATCTGATTAACACACCATAAGCGGCACTTTCGCTAGTCCTTTCAATAGCGCCATCTACATTGATCTTCACCCAATTTGATCTCATGGTTTCCACATAATTGGACGGATTGTACTAGTGCTACCAGTATGCATTAGCTTCCTGCCCCTACTGTTTCGCAGCTCATCAACATACATACGGATTAATTTCATCCCATGAGGGGGATGATTGAAATTAGAATCATGGACACTTTTATTTCTCCAACCCCATAAAAACCAACAAGAGGTAAAGAATAAATCACACCAATCATCTAAAATCTCATGGTTCCATGATATTGCAATATTCTTTTCAACCTAGCCTCTAAAATCTAAGCTATAGAATGATCTCTTGTGATTAGGTGAAACCAGACGGTCCCAGACTCCTTGAGCATGCTTGCAATCTCTCAGGACATGGAGATTCGTTTCCAGTTCACCAGGACAGCACATACAATAATTGTTTCCACCACTCCATTTAGTTGTTCGATCCTTAGTAAGTAGTTGACCATGCATAATTGTCCACATGCATGTTTTGACTCTCGGAGGACCATTCCATTTCCACAAGCTAGTCCAAGTATTTTCCATTTTCGTGAGAGGAAAATTAAGCATGGAACAGTACGCAGATTTTACCAATGAACATCCAACCTTGTGATTCTTCCAAATAATACGATCATGTCCATCTGACCTGCAAGGAGTAAGAACTGCAGAGATCCTTCCTATAACATGGTCGTTGAAATATTGACGCATGTAAAGAACATTATATTGACCATCGTTATTCACAAAATGACTAACTGGAAGATGCATATCATTCAATGTAGGCATAGATGTAGCTAAGGAGACGAGGCTTTCTGATAACCCATGCCAATTATCTTTCCAAAATAACGTGTCATTACCATCACCAATCTCCCACTGAATTGCTTGGAGAAACGAAGGCCAAACATTACACAGGTTTTTCCAGAAGTATGAATCATGGGTTTGTGAATCACCTATCTTCGAAGATCGACACCTCTCTTATATTTGCTAGTAATAACACGAACCCATAACGAATGAGGCGAGTTAATCAAGTTCCAAGCAAGCTTATGAAAGAAAGCTCTATTCTGGATTCTAAGATTGATCCCCCCTAAACCACCCATGCTCTTAGGCTTATATAGATTATCCTAAGCAACAAGATGAGTCCTCCTTTGATCATTTGTGTCACCCCATATAAAAGCTCTTTGCAATTTCTCTATTTCATCATAAATGGCTACAGGTAGCAGGCTAAGTTGCATTTGGAAGATAGGCGTGGCTGAGATAACTGAATTGGATAAAGTTACATGACCAGCAAAAGATAAAACCTGGTTACTCCACCCAGCCAGCTTGTGTCTAATTCTATCAACAACATTAGCATAATGATCTTTAGATACACGGCCATGTTTCATCATGGATCCAAGATATCTCCCTATATTGTGAGTTTTCTTGAAACCACACACTTTTGTAATGTCATCTGCAGTGTGAAGATCCATATTTTTAGAGAGAAAAATGCTAGATTTTGGGATACTTACCTGTAACCCAGACATTGAACTGAAAGTCTTCAAACAATCCAAAATAATGTTGATTTGATCTAAAGAGGCTTCTGCAAACAACATCAAGTCATCAGCAAACATGAGATGAGCCACTGAGGGATCCAACTGAAATTGGCTTCCAGCTTTTATTATCAACAGCATCCTGGATGATATGAGATAATTTTTCCATGGCTAGAACAAAAATGTATGAGGATAGGGGATCTCTGTGACGAACACCTCTTGAAGGAAGGTAATCTCCAGTTATAGCTCCATTTCAAAGAACTGAGACCTTATCTAACTTGATGCAATTCATGATAAGGATAATAAGCCACTGAGGGATTTGAATTTCCTCCAAAACTTTAAGCACAAAATCCCAATTTAACTTGTCATATGCCTTTTCCAAGTCGATTTTAATTGCCATGAAACATCTTCTTCCTCTCATCCTACTCATTGAGTGGATCAGCTCTTGGGTGATGATAATATTGTCCTGGATATGACGCTTGGGAACAAAACTAGCTTGGAAAGGTGACACCATCTCTTCCATTAACGGCTTCATTCTGTTAACCAGAATTTTGCTGAGAATTTTATAGGAGACATTGCACAAAGAGATTGGTCTAAGCTACTTCACACTTTCATGTCTCTTGACTTTAGGAATGAGAACTAAAAGAATAGTATTTACAAGATGGATCAGATTAAGGTTCTGAAACATCATGTTAACATCTTTAATAATATGAGCCTTAAGAAGATTCCAGTTCTTTTGATAGAATGCGGCTGGAAACCCATCCTCTCCTGGAGCTTTTGAACCGTTGATACTAAACACAACTTTTGAAATTTCTTCATCAGATAGATTATGAGACATATTTTCCAATAGATCGACTTTAAGAGAAGGCCAAGTATTCTTTGTTTTCACCCAGTCTCGAATATGGACATCCTCACAAAATAAATTGTTGTAAAAATCTGTTACCAAATTCTGAATCTGTCTAACATCGCTAACCCAAATCCCATCAGGATTTTTGAGCTCATGGATCTTATTTATTTATTTTTTGGAAATATTTCAATCGATTCATTGCTTCGCAACTAATCCGATTCGGGGCAAGTCCAGGATTAAGGCTTTAAACCCCTCCCTAAGGTGGTACTGGGGAGATTCAAACACATGCTCTCATCCCCGCTTGCTTAGCTCCCATGCGCCAACTGAGCTACCACCATTTTGGTTGAGCTCATGGATCTTATTAGAACTTCTTCTGGATGCTGTCTTAATATGATAGAATTTTGGATTTCTATCCCCATCATTTATCCATTTTATTCTGAATTTTTGAAACCAAAGAATTTCCTCTTGAATAAGAACCGAATCAAGATCCCTTCTAATCTCCTTTTTCTTTGGATTGAAGAGACATATTAGAATGATAATCAGCATGCTTCTGAATTTCTTCGATACTGTTCAATAAGTTAGTCTTCCTTTTGAAGATGTTGCCGAAGACTGTCTTATTCCAGTTTTTTAGCCTTGGTGTCAGATCCTGCAAATTTGTTCTTGTATCCTTTTCATTTTTCCAGCGTCTAGCTAAGAAGCTTTTAAAATCATAATGCTCCATCCAAGCAATCTCAAAACGAAAAGGCCGTCTTCTCCATTCATTATCCAAGCTAGTCAAATGGACCATAATGGGGCAATGATCAGAATAAACCCTTGGTAAAACTCTTACTCCAGCATCTGTAAAGGTAGTCTTCCAGCTTGCATTGACACAGGCACGATCTAGCCTTTTGAAAACACGATCAAGATGCAGAAATTTTGGGGCCTTCCATGTAAACTAAGGATCTGATCCTCCTAGATCCATGAGTTTGCAATCGTGGAGAATTGTTGTGAACTTGAAGCATCTATTTGTGTCAACTCTACTACCACGTTTCTTCTCATTTCGATGAGCTATTTCATTCAAGTCTCCAGCCACCAGCCATGGCTCATTACATTGGAGACTAATGTTAAGCAATTCCACCCAAAGATCCTTTCTAAACTCTTCTCTAGGACTTGCATAAACTGCAGA